TTAAGAGAATATTATGCTCGTATGTGTTGTCTCCGTCTTACAAGTGTGCAACAGCAAATTATACGCTCAGCAGATCACGTGTAACTCCGTGAGCTTAAAATTTAGAGTGAATTGACCTCTTATAAAAATTAAAGGTAATATTATTATCGAGGGCTTCTTATAGGCTTTTTATTGCGTTTTAATTTTAAAGCGAGCTATGAGTATTTTAAAATTGTAAGTTACATCTATAATCTTTCTATATATCTTAAAATACTCAAACTAGATGGGCGAATGAAATATAATAAATTAAAAATATTGTAATTAATTAATTATATAATTAATTAATCTTGTTTGAAAATTAAAATATTGAACAAAAGTCGATGCTTGAGCATGGATGTTCTCACCTACCTTAATACTTGAWGATAGGTTAGTTCACTCTAATATCAAAACTAACAGCATACAATTGATTATTGAAAATTTCAGATGTATATTAAACGTTTGAAAGACGGAGACAAAAAATGTGTGGATATCATCCTCTTAAAGAATGTAGATAAATAACTTTACGATTAAAGCTATTGCTTTGATGTATTGATGCAAGTAGCCTGAACCAAAATTAAAATCAATAACATAATTAAATACATTTAACTAATTCCAGTTTGCTGTTAATGGCTAACCCAACATTATTACAATGCCAACTTAACACTCATCTTTGATGTATCATCGTTACTTGGCTGATTAATATATGCATTTAGATCGCTTATGGTTTAGATGCTGTAAACCAAGTAATATTAGAACATAAATCAAGTGACTGATTACATCAAAAAATTAAAACATCATACTTCGTGCTTTAGAAAGTTCAATTTACGAAATATTACTATGTTGGAAATAGATAATTAATATWTCAATGCAAAACACTAAGTGAACACATCAACTAAAGTACAATCATCATTATCTACAAAAAAACTATAATTAATCATATCTTAATTTAATAATTGTACAAGGATTATAGCATTACTTTTGGTCATTAATAATTGGATWAAATTTAAAAATAAAAGTGCAGTCAGTTCTTAAAAATCATTTAAGGAATTTAACCAGGGAGTTACAGTTTAAATTTTATCTCAATAACAATACATACAAATAAAATTACATATAAGCTAAATCTTAAACTTACTCACATATTATAAATAAAAATTATTGATACATGAATTAATTTCCTTTTTTTATATGTTGGTTATCAAAAAAATAACAATTAGTAGGTAATACATACAATTATAAAAATACAAATTATGATGCAGATAGTTAATAATAATGTAGTCTGATTATTAGAATATGTAAATTACTATGTAACAATATTACTAAAGAGAAACATTAAAATAGGTATATCAACATTGTTTCATGTTTGAATATGTTTAAGTTTCATGAAATTTAAATTTACTATTAATAGTAACTACAAAAAGTATCTTAGTCGACACGGCTTTTCTTAACATCAGTAATATTTTCGATTGTATCAGCAGCTTTTCTTTTGATAGCCAATATTTCTTCTGCACCTTCTTCATTATTGATATCCTCTCTATCTTCTTCATTATTGATATCCTCTCTATCTTCTTCATTATTGATATCCTCTCTATCTTCTTCATTTTTGATATCTCCTGCACCTTCAATGTCTTCTTTGTTGACACATACACTACTACCAGCAGAATTTACGGTYTTCTCATCAATAACACAGTCATCATCATTTTGATAAAGTTCCGTATTATTTTTAATTTCATTAGCAGCATAAAAATCATTTATATTGTTAAAAATTTCAAAATCGGGTTCTTCTTCTTCAGACTTTTTTTTGTGATGTACTCTAATTTTTATACTATAATTTTGAAAATCATCATCTACCTCAAAGCCAGATCCATCCGTCATACCCGCTTCTAATAATGTTTTATCATACAAATTTACCTCATCATCTGCGTCACTAGAGATTATCACTCGATTTACAATTGTTACATCCGGGGAAACCATATTCAGTTTCTTTTTTAATACGAGTTCTTCCAATTGTCTTACAGTTAATTTTTGTATGTCAGTAACCAATATTATTTCTCCCTCTGAGGAGCAAACATTGCATTTAGGGTTGGGTTTTTGTAGATGTTTGTCTTTCACCARTAGTCCCCCTTTATGGTTAGGCATACTTCTTAAGAATACATTCTGGCATCGTTCATATTTTCCTTGAAGGATTCTTAGGGCATGGATAACAATTTGTCCAGCAACCATTGCATTTGCAGTAGCAATGGCAGGAATAATGTTGCCAGCCATTGATTTGATATCAAAATAGGATTTAAAAGGAATATTAAAGATCGCCGATCTAATATTAGAGCAAGACACAACAAAGTTCATAAAATGATCATCATCCTTATCCCAAGTTAAACATTGAACTTTGGATTTATCCCATTTTTCTTTAATCGCAGTTATGCTATCTAAAAACATAGTCACGCTTTGTTCCAGGGTTAATATCTCGTTGTCAAGTACATGATTATACTCGCAATATTCTTGATCTATGAGCGATTCATCTAATGGAATAGGTTTGATGTTTTTACCTTCATACAAGTGTGACATACTCAACAAATAGTTTATGTCATCAAAAAAAATTTTTTTGAATAATTTCTTTGGATTATACTCGTTTTTAATGGCCCAATTACGGGCAGACAACTTTTCGTAACCACCTTGAACTTCTTCTTTCTGCTCCATAGATACATCTTCTTCAGAATCACCAAATAATTGGCTGAATAAGTATTTTGCCCATATGATACAGTGAATAGGCTCTTTGGGCGTATTTCTAATTGTGCACATAGGATAAGTTTTGGGTTCGGATCTTGCATTACATTCATAACACATACTAACTCCTTTTAGAATGAACTCTACTTGACCTTGGTAACCCATCGTACCGGATTCAATAAGTGGAACTTKACATGACAGGCACATACGATTCACATGGCTACGCGCCTTCTTGTTGTCCAAAGCGTTTATAACCAATTTAAATTTATTGAAGAACGCCACACCATACTTACCGTCCATAATGTCACCAAAGTGCGATGTAATATTGACGTTAGGGTTAAATTTAAGTACACTAGTTCTAGCGACATGTGACTTAGCTTTGCCCACAGACTCCTTATCGAACAGGAACTGACGATTCAAATTGCTCACCTCAATAGTGTCCAGATCGATCACCTCCAGTTCGCAAAAACCAATCATCACGAGGTTTTTAAGAACCTCGCAGCCAATGCCACCCGCGCCAACAACCAGGATCCTGGAATTTATGACGAGATTTTGTACTTCGGGTGTAAACACTCCAGCAATGGTGGCCGCCATAATTGTATCGTGAGTCTTGTAGTTGTAATAAATCAAAATGAACGAATCTGWCGAGAGACCATAAGTTACTACATAGAATATAGAATTAGAATAGCTGATATAGGTATTACAAAATTACTTATTAGAATTAGGACCAATGGCGTAAAGCGTCTTGGCGTCCTCGACTCTGTGTAAACACTCAGCACTCGTCACCGCGTTTGACCGCACAGTTTACAAAAAGGTATAGGTTTTACGGCATTATAGAGATTCATTTTTTGAAAGCGGTTTAAAATTATGATACCAGTGAACTTCTACGGAGGTACAATATTCTGCTCTTGGAACGTAAAACGATGCGTTATAACATGGGTTAGGTATAGTATACTAACCACTAAGYCGGTTACTGAAATTTGAGGTTATGTCTATAATATATTTTATATTATCCCAGAATATAAATAAGTAACACGCCGACTACAACACTGGACTGGAAACGTCAAGGGAGGCGGGTGACGGGGACCGGCCCGCTTAGTGTCCGCGAGAGAGGTGTAGAAAGGGGAATAGTACATGAGCTAATCTCGCGCAGCCTGGCTTACCACAGGCATACTACCCATTTCTTCAAACGATAAACGTTAATGGTAAACGAAAAACGATAATGTTCGTGTGGAATATAATATATTATGACAATATTATGTTATAGTTGGTGCTTATTAAAATATAATATTTATCACGGACGTGATATTTATGCACAGACTTCTATACCAGAAGTCTGTGTATTTATGTATTATGAATTTATGATGTATTGCCCTCATAGAGTAATATTGAATCTATTCTGTGATATTACCTTATGATTGCCCATCTCCATCATTTATATAAATATCATATTATCATGATGTTATATCATGCATTCATGCTTATTATCACATTCACAGTACATAAAATAGATTCAACTTATTCTGTGATTATATAATATGTAAATTATAGTTGCTATACTTTTATTGTATGCTATTAGTGCTATTGCATAAAATTAACACTATTAAAGTTAAAAGTATTAAATATTGACTATTATTCCTTATCCTTATACTATGGAATCTGGATGGACACATGGTAATTTTAAATTTTTGTTYATGGACTTTTTGTTATGATATGGTTATATTTAGATGATAAATAAAAGTATATTATTGGCTAGAGAGCCTAGATAATAATTTATTTCTTAATTATTATCCAGGCTCTCTAATATTGACTATAAGTATTCGAATAATATCTATGTTATAATATTATTATTAATTTTTGTCCTCAGTAATTACTAATTAGAATTTAGAATTTATTATTAAATAGTAATCACTATTAATTACTATTCTCGCATCCTCAACAAACTAATATTTGTTAATCATGGACCATCAAACTTATTATGTACATTATACTATAATACTATGTTACTATATTAATTAATAGTTAAATATCTTAAATCTTGGTCGGTACCWGGTGATTATAAATATTAATTTATTTGATAATTAATGGTCACTTATCGTTATCACATACTTAAACATTTTAGGGTATTTGAAGACTTACATCAGTTAACTGCGATTTGGATATCAAGATATACTGGTCAATGTTATTCAATAGTAGCAGTTTATTTGGTGTCCACTTTTGAAAGAGTTGACACTTAACTTAAATCCTCAGGTTCTGATTGTGGTCTGTCATATATTGATTTCGGTCCACTCAAAGTCAAAGCTGTCATAATGGTACCTCGCGTGACTCTGGTAAGTTTGACAAGATTAATTATACTATTAGTTATTACAATGCTCATTGCATACTATCGGTTTGTTTCATGTTACATAACTCATTTAAATCAAGTAACTGTTAATCAATGTATTACTATACTGAATTGTATTCGTCAAACAGCCATACTCAATATTTGAATAAATAATATGTATATTTTATTTTTCCAAACATTTTGACAAATCAACCTGCACGGTTGCATGTCTATGGTTAAATTCAAYTAAAAACGTTTTACTTTTGTTTTATTTCTAGCTAGACGCTCACGTACTCGATGATCACATTTTCAAAATATTTATTGGCCAGACCTTAAAGATTTTTAAATACTTACCGGTTAGTACCTGCATTATTTTATTAGAAACATACTGACAATTTTTTATTAAATATAAATAACTATATTTTGATAAAATAATTCAAATAGGTATCTATAGTTAAAAATATATTAAAGCTTAACAATATTATTGGCATCTTATATTTTATAAAAAATAAAAACATTTTTTTTTTTGGCATTTAATTGTTTGATCTTAAATTTATATATATTTTTTTTCAGTCGTGGATTTTAAACAATTGTGAGTTGGAAATAAATGGAATATTACAATTCTTAATAACATATGTGAGTAGAAATATTTCATTTTATTAATTTATTAAATGCTTATATTACATAAGAATTTATTTTTAGTATTCTGTGACAAAATCAAAAGCAACATTTGGTCAACAAATGCTTGGCATTAGATTTAAACCAGATCAGCTAACTGACATAAAGTTAGTTCTATTTCAATTGTTTACAGTCGGAGCAGAGTATATACAATCAAAAGTAGAAAGTCCTTCGAACAATTTTATAAGCAATGTAAATTATTTATTACATATAATTAAACATTCACTGTTAAAATATCTAATGATTGTAAATTCCAGATAGATTTCTAACCTACAATTAATTGTTGATGTTTTGAAAGCAGCTTCTTTCTTGAATTTCCTGTTATTCTTAAAACAAGGCAAGTATCCGACATTGACTCAAAGATTTTTAAGTCTATCACAAGAGCCAACCCGTAAAAGAAGTATTGAATACACTCATATGACAAGAGAACTGCTATGGCATGGTTTTTCAGTATGTATCACGTTGCCTATAGTCCATGCATTATAGTTCATAAAATCTTAATAATACTTTAAAATAGACATTTATTATCATAATTAGTGATGCAAAAATTTATTGATTTTTTAGTTCATTATCAAAAAAATKTTCTGTTATTAATTTAAATGTAAATGAATTTTATTTTCGATTTATTTATATTTTGACATCAAATAAATTTATTAGTATAATCAGATATCACTGGTTATTATATGATAAATATATGT